ATTAAGGTATCAATCAGATTTGTCCCGTGTTTTGCTTGTTAGCAGATAGGTTCTCTGTATTGTAAGGTATCAGATTTGTCCTGTGTTTTGCCTGTTAGAAGATAGGTTCTCTGTATAGTAAGATATCAGATTTGCCTTGTTCAGTCATTACCTTTGAATGAACATCCAATAATCTAAAGCGCCTTGCCACTAGGATTAAGCAGATATAGACCCAGACAATATTTCTGTCAGTGTATTTAGCTGTGAAACATGATTGCCTTTATAAAGAAAGAAAAGTAATTTCTATTTGTTCGCTACCAAGGGGTGTATATGCCTTTGTAGGATTTCATCAAAAACTAACTTCGTTTGGCTAATCATGCACAAATGGAAATGACAAAAAAGGATGTCTTATACAAATAGTTCCATGAAGTGGTAATGCTTAACCCAATCATGGGGGTGTCTCAATTTCAGAATCTCATTAATACTAGGATGTAATTCTAACTTTTTCAATCAGTATGCAAAGGACAGGTGTTGACTGCATTCAGACATCGGTAGGCCTAAAGTTCTAATTCCATCACTGAATCAACATCTAAAAAATGAAGAGTGAATGAAATGAAAGTAACCCCTCTCCCCCTAGTAAATAAATTTGATCTTCTCACATTTACATAAAGAAGAATTAAACAACCATTATGATTTCATATACAACATTTGATGAAACAAATCCAGATGGCTAATACCCTAACAACCTAGGATTGAAAGTTAACTGCTGTATGGTACATATCAGTTTCATTAATTAAATGGCTTTATTTTATATAACTCCAAATTTTGAGCTGAATTGTGATTTTCACTTAAGTCTTAAATTCATCATTATCTTGTTAATCAGATGAGAATCACACCAATGTGTAACCAAATAGGGTTTAGCGTAACACAGCTGGATTTTCATATGGGATTGGTTGAAATAAGTTAGCTTAAACAATAATTTGTTTAATGTTCAATAGTATATCAATATAACACATATAGGTAGTTCACATGGGTGTTGATAATTACTTTCATATATACACTTAGGCTGGTGTAGTCTGGGACTGAGAATCTTATCAGTGGATGTACAGCTTCGGCCAGTTAATTAATTTGAGACTATCCCCACTTCCTTGAAAATCAAACTTATGCAATTTTCCGTTGGGACAGTGGTCACCTAGTAGTAGAGTAATTATAAGGGTCTATTTCAAGTAACAAATTAGCAGAGGGAATCTCAACCTTGCACCTCCAGTACAAGTGCTATACTTCAATAATCATATCATCTAGCAATAAGTGAAGTCCATATCAGGGGATGGCCAGACAAGCTTGGTCCAGAGTAAGATAAAATGGGGTGATCTTTAGGTTAGAGGGACGGCCTTGGGAGAGCCCTATAGAGAGAGCAGAAGGAGAGCAGTCAGAGCCCTATGGATAAAGCCCTATAGCTAGCCCTATGGACAGACGGGGAGATAGCTCAGACCCCTATGGACAGTTCTGATAAGAGACATAATGTGAAGTACTAATATGAGTATATGAACTATGTATGTTGATGAGATGTTGCTTTTGTACATGTAACATTATCATTATTCAACATGTAATAAACATGGCTATTACCAACAAGTATGTGTGTTTATGCCTATTGTGTTACAAATGATACTATCAGAGAAAGTGTAATATAACAATGATACGATCAGAGATAGTGTAATATAACAATGATACTATCAGAGATAGTGTAATATAACAATGATACTATCAGAGAAAATGTAATATACCAATGAAACGATCAGAGATAGTGTAATATAACAATGATACTATTAGAGATAGTGTAATATAACAATGATACGATCAGAGATAGTGTAATATAACAATGATACGATCAAAGAGAGTGTGATATAACAATGATACTATTAGAGATAGTGTAATATAACAATGATACTATCAGAGATAGTGTAATATAACAATGATACGATCAGAGATAGTGTAATATAACAATGATACTATCAGAGACAGTGTAATATAACAATGAGATAGTGTAATATAACAATGATACGATCAAAGAGAGTGTGATATAACAATGATACTATTACATATAGTGTAATATAACAATGATACTATCAGAGATAGTGTAAATATACCAATGATACAATCAGAGATAGTGTACGATCAAAGAGATATAACAGATAGTGTAATAGAACAATGATACTATCAGAGACAGTGTAATAATATATCAGAGATAGTGTAATATAACAATATACGACAGAAATAGTGTAATATAACAATGATACTACAGAGATAGTGTAATATAACAGGAGATAGTGTAATATAACAATGATACTATTAGAGATAGTGTAATATAACAATGATACGATCAGAGATAGTGTAATATAACAATGATACTATCAGAGATAGTGTAATATAACAATGATACTATTAGAGATAGTGTAATATATAATGATACGATCAGAGATAGTGTAATAGAACAATGATACTATCAGAGACAGTGTAATATAACAATGATACGATCAGAGATAGTGTAATATAACAATGATACGATCAAAGAGAGTGTGATATAACAATGATACTATTAGAGATAGTGTAATAATATAACAAGTGTAATATAACAATTACAGAGATAGTGTAATATAGTGTGTAATATAACAATGATACGATCAGAGATAGTGTAGTATAACAATGATACGATCAGAGATAGTGTAATATAACAATGATACGATCAGAGATAGTGTAATATAACAATGATACTATTACAGATAGTGTAATATAACAATGATACGATCAGAGATAGTGTAATATAACAATGATACGATCAGAGATAGTGTAATATAACAATGATACGATCAGAGATAGTGTAATATACCAATGATACGATCAAAGAGAGTGTGAGATAGTGTAATATAACAATGAGTTAGTATACGATTCAGAGATAGTGTAATATAACAATGATACTATTACAGATAGTGTAATATAACAATATACGACAGAGATAGTGTAATATAACATTAATACTATCAGAGATAGTGTAATATACCAATGATACGATCAGAGATAGTGTAATATAACAATGATACTATCAGAGATAGTGTAATATAACAATGATACGATCAGAGATAGTGTAATATACCAATGATACTATTAGAGATAGTGTAATATAACAATGATACTATCAGAGATAGTGTAATATAACAATGATACTATTACAGATAGTGTAATCATGATTGTTTAAATGGTCAGTTAATGACAATGCTGAAAATTGACCATCACTTTCTATAACAATTTCATACCAAATGAACTAATGAAAAATGCTTTCAGTATCTAGTGAGGAAGAAACATGATAATTTTTAACGTGGCTGGTTAGTACAGTGGTAAAACACTTTCCTTTTATCTTGGTGACCTGAGTTTGATTCCCAATGGCTGTGAAAAGAGTAAGGGGTCACTTGCCCAACCAGGTGGGTTTTCCCCCAGTTACTCCGGTTTCCTACCATAGGAAGAACGTTTTCACACTTCCATCCAAGCCAACAGGCTGGAGAAAATTGTTTTGTTTCGCCATTGTTGTACACGAGTTTGATTTTTCTTTGAACAATTTTAGAAAGTATACATGTGATGTTACTAAAAACTCACAACTTTTTGTCTAAAAGGATGAACAATGATTTTATCTTTTCATTGTAAAATTATGTAAAGTAGAAAATGTGTGGTACTATTGAATATTCACAGTGCTTCAGTACACTACCACTTGGGAACAATATTACAGGCATTCATTACATAAATAAAGCACGGTCACACTAACACTGAAAGATATTTATACCAATCAGGGACAGACTTACCACTTAAGTGCTATTAAATAATATATGATTAATATTTCATGTTATCCAACAATTAATAAATATTCTCGTTAACTCCATACATTAACTGTGCACAGCAAATTCAAAATTTCTGCTCATGTTGACTGTGTTCTCCAAAGTCAATAGAAAGTAACTGTTGAATGAAAAATCTTTTTTTTAAGTTAAAACATGCCTGCTACACTGTCAAATTTCCACATATACTTATTCAGGCATGCTATTTTTGGTCAAATATGACCGGAATGTTTGTAGCATTATATATTTCCCAATCTTTGAACGTGATCAGTGTCAATTCTGAAGATTTGCTGGAATAAGTTTTGTAACAGACTTAAGGCTGTCATGTTATAGTTAAATCACAGCCATAACAAGACGACAGTAGGTTTTTGTAAATACGATCTGTCTGACCCATACACATGGTGGTTTACACATGTCAATGACCTTCACATTACAATAAACATACTGGCCATCTATACAGTAATTCTTGATCCACTATTTAAGAGTACTTATAAGACTAACCTATAATCTGTCTGCAGAACCGCGATCACAGGTGATTATACAGGTGAGTCAGGCCTAAACACAGCTGACCTACTTTTAGACTTGCTCACTATATAGTATATATGTTGTTACAAGTGCCAGTCCACTGTTATCATGGCACCACCAACAAGTAGTGTCTTCTTCAAATAATCCAAATTATATCATCACATTCAACTTGATCATTAGTTATGTTCACATCTTCATTATTGTATTTACCCAGGTAATCTTAGGTATAAATATTTGTGTCAGCCTGTCACCAATATAGGCCAAATGTTAGCTGTCCCACACCCTTCCACTATGATTGGTTAAGTACGACCTACAAAAGTTTTGTCAGGCAGCATTCTGACTTAAAAAAGATACTTCAAAATCATAAATTTGTCCTACAGACAGGTGACACCCCCACACAATACATGTACCTGCAAGAATGTGTGGAATTTTGCTCAATTATTATCAAGATAGAGTATGATCGGAAATGAATATTTATGAATGATAGTGATCTAATGTGAAATATTGTGGTAGTTTACCTGTAAACACCGAGTCACAACCATTGGCTATCCCATGTATGTGTGTGGGAAAAAGATAAGTGAGGAAAACCTACAGGTGTAAACTTTGATTACTTACCTGTTCACTGGGGTATGATACTTCCACTTGTAAGTCACAGAATTATAAGCACTACGTGTGCATAGCTGCTAACACCTCCAGCTCAGAACACAACACCTAGTGGAGACTGTGAAGAGTGAACAGAGAGCAGGACTGGCCTGTGTATAGGTCTTTCAGCTGCTGTGTCTATACTACAACTATCCAAGTCCTACCTATACTATGCCCAAGATCTATCACGGTTATCTCCCCTAATCTAGTTGACCCTCTAGTGGTAAGTGACCTGAGGAAATATATAATGTACAGAGCCTTATTCACATGACATCTATAAAAAAAATACAAACGAACCTTTCAACCCAAATTCTGATCAACTGCAATATCTGAGATAAAGGTATAATGTGTAATTCTTCTTAATTGCATATCACCTGAATGAGTACAAAAAAGAAAATTTACATCAAATTTTCTACAAACATAAGAGTTTTGTACCCTTAGTCAGGCTTTGTATCCTAAGAGACAGGATGTACATGGTAGACTTAATCCTTAGTCAGCCCCTGTATCATAAGAGACTGAACATACATGACAGGCTTTAGTCTAATTCCTGTATAATTTGAAACTGGACAATCATGGTGTACTAGTACACTTACTTAGGCTCAGTTAATCACTGGAGACTGGACATACACTGCAGGTAGCAGGAAACAGTTAATTTGCATTTTTCCTGAAATTATTTGTCATGTTTGAGAGACACAGGTATAGCAGATTGGTTATGAAAAATACATCATTACATGTATATGTATTTATAAACTACATAACAATTACATTAACAGAAGAGAGAGAAGAAATTTGTGTAAAAAAAAAAATTCCTCTGATTTCTGACATTTGATTGTCATGGTTACCTACTGAAAAAAAGCTAAAAATGCAAAAATACTGCTTATTCCACCCTAACACTACAACTTTCTAGAAGAAATTTAATTCTAAACACCTATCTTACAATCAACAACACTGTCATGGTAAAAAAGTACTTACATTTCAGCAAATTCCAACTCGGAAATTCTTCATAACATGACCACATGTAAACACTATGAAAATTTCACTTCCTGTAAAGCTAGTTTTGGTGCCTAGACACAGATTAGAGACTGCCCAAATAGTAATCTCCAACACAAAGCTAAAATATTATCCTGAAAAAAATGAAACCCCACATTGTCCACTTAAACATGACAGGACAAAATTTTAGCAAGGATTTTTTTTTTTCATTTTTAATTAAAACCTTTGTAATGGGGTAATCTAATGAGCAAAAAAAATCACCCATGGCCACACCGAGAAACTGTGTACTGCTACCTGTAGGCTTGTACCCTTCACCAGGCACTGTATCACAAAAGACTGGCCATCATATATTGTATCCGTATTCTAAGGGCCTGTATCATTGGAGACTGGACATACACCAAGTAGGCTTGTACCCTTAGTCTAAGGGTCTGTATCACTGGAGACTGGACATACAAACTGTAGGCTTGTACCCTTAGTCTAAGGGCCTGTATCATTGGAGACAGGACATATACACTGTAGGCTTGTACCCTTAGTCTAAGAGTCTGTATCACTGGAGACTGGACATACACACTGTAGGCTTGTACCCTTAGTCTAAGGGCCTGTATCATTGGAGATTGGCCATACACACTGTAGGCTTGTACCCTTAGTCTATGGGTCTGTACCATTGGAGACTGGACATACACACTGTAGGCTTGTACCCTTAGTCTAAGGGCCTGTATCATTGGAGACTGGACATACACACTGTAGGCTTGTGCCCTTAGTCTAAGGGTCTGTATCACTGGAGACTGGACATACAAACTGTAGGCTTGTACCCTTAGTCTAAGGGCCTGTATCATTGGAGACAGGATATATACAACGTAGGCTTGTACCCTTAGTCTAAGGGTCTGTATCACTGGAGACTGGACATACACACTGTAGACTTGTACCCTTAGTCTAAGGGCCTGTATCATTGGAGACTGGCCATACACACTGTAGGCTTGTGCCCTTAGTCTAAGGGCCTGTATCATTGGAGATATACACTGTAGGCTTGTACCCTTAGTCTAAGGGTCTGTATCATTGGAGATATACACTGTAGGCTTGTACCCTTAGTCTAAGGGTCTGTATCATTGGAGATATACACTGTAGGCTTGTACCCTTAGTCTAAGGGCCTGTATCATTGGAGACTAGACATACACACTGTAGGCTTGTACCCTTAGTCTAAGGGCCTGTATTATTGGAGACTGGATAACACACTGTAGGCTTGTACCTTTAGTCTAAGGGCCTGTATCATTGGACATATACACTGTAGGCTTGTACCCTTAGTCTAAGGGCCTGTATCATTGGAGATATACACTGTAGGCTTGTAAATGTAGTCTAAGGGCCTATATTATTGGAGACTGGACATATACACTGTAGGCTTGTACCCGTAGTCTAAGGGCATGTATCACTGGAGATTGAACATATACACTGTAGGCTTGTACATGTAGTCTAAGGGCCTGTATCATTGGAGACTGGACATATACACTGTACACTTAGCTAGGATCTATATCACTGAAGATTGGACATACATGGTAGACTTGTACACTTAGCTAGAGCATGTGTCATTAAAGGCTGGACATAATATGTAGACATGAACCCTTAGCCATGTCCTCTATAACTGGACACTGGACATACATGATATCTCCTTAGTTAGAATAGACACTGTATCATGGAGTCTGTATAAACCTTTTAAACTTGTACCCTTACTCAGGTCATGCTCTGCATCATTGGAGACTGAAAGTACAGTGCGGAACATCTATGGTGATGTCAGGAAACAGCGTCACTGACATATCTACTTGATCTGGATACCCCTAGATATGACACCGGCCAGGTTAATCTACCTCCCGTCCATCTAAACACTGACAAGCCCTCATTGATTTTACGTAATTTTTCGTTTGAAGTCCAGGTTGACATATCGAAGCATTACATGGAGGAATTCTCAGACATGCCAAAATCATTCACCAACATAACGATCAAAATGCTCTTAACATCTGACAGAAAAAGTCTGTAGATGGAACAGATACTTTTAAAGTTGAAAAAGGGCTTTCAACAGTCCTACATAAACTACATATTTAAGATTTTACAACAGATAGTTTATTTTGTTTTTTATATTTTTCAATTCTGATACTAGTAAATATTTGTGTTTGATGTTTTCCCTAACAGTTGTCTGACTGTTGTCAGGACACCATGAACAAAAAGTACCATTGTTACCTTGTTCCATCTCATCTGTCACCAAATAAATTATGTCCTTGATTTTCAATTGTAACTTAAGCCAATCACACAAACTCTGTTCATTATCAAATATAAATTCATGACTGTTTTTTTAACCATTCATTACATATTTAAAAATGTGTATGTATCTCCATGCACTTCGTTAAGACATATCTTTGTCCATAAGTTATAAGCATATTCTTGTTGTAGAAAGGGAATTGCATTATAACACCATCATTTTATGCTCGGTAACCAAATTAACTCTACACAGTCAAATACCAAACAAATAAGAAAATGTTAAGATTAGGAATCATACTTGGCTTATATTCTGTATCATGTTCCCTAATGAATATGAGATCAGTTGCCAATTCTTGTGGCAGTGTTTGCTGTAATTAAAGCAAAATCTGGAAGAGAACACACTGTATTTAAAGTCAGATATAGATTTCTACTGCAAATTGCTTGCAACTGATATTTCAGTGTAACATGGAATCTAACCTTTGAACTTAGGTTATGACTTCAGAATTTTTTTTTACTGTCAATGATGGTTCAATGTATTTTTAATTCAAATTGATAAATTCATGTATTGTACAATTCTTAAGCCTATTCTCTCCAATAATCATGATTTTGTTATGTAAATACACCCTTATATATATATATATATAATCTTTTCCACACATTTTCTCTCCTATTTCAAATTTGAAAGTTGACCAGTATGGTTGGTTCCTAGCTAATTAAATTCCTTAATCTTGTTTATAAAAACTTTTTACACTGTATTACATTTTATCTTATAATTACCATTGCTTTTTGTATAAACCTCAAACTTGCCCTGGAAAATTGGTGTGACATGCACTTAACCCTAAATGAAATGAAGTTGTGTGTTGGTGTCCTACTGAATTTGATATGTGCTGGTACCAGTACACATTTCAAGAAAGGTTGTAAAACATATTACTAATGCTTTAGAATAGCCAAGGCACATAACTATAACATGAAGCTCCTAGAATCTTTATCAAACTCCAGTAATAGATGTAAAAGTGAGCCTGGTCAAGTCAGACATGATTGGTTTTAATCTTATTCATTATAAGACAGACTCTTAAATCATTGGCCATTATAGAATCAGCCAACCTTCCCAAACACCTTAACTGCACAGCCTACGATCTAGTACCAAGCCATCAATATCAGTGTAGATTTCAAGAGTTGCGTGCCAATTACCTGGTACCTAAACCTCAAGTCAGACATCTAAAAACTTCAATTTGAGGGCTCTAAGCTCTGACTTAACGACTGTAGCTCAAGTACAAAAAACCTTTACAACAGTGCATCAGTGTCAATAAAATCTTAAACACTTTCCCAAATCAGGTGTAATGTAGATGATAAACTACAACAACTATATAATGTCCATCATCATCATCATCATCGTCATCATCATCATCATCATCATCATCATCATCATCATCATCATCATCATCATCATCATCATCATCATCATCATCATCATCATCATCATCATCATCATCATCATCATCATCATCATCATCATCATCATCATCGTCATCAACATGATCATCATTAGATCAAAGACCAGGTTCAGACATAAGAATATTAATGTATTGTGGTTCAGTACCAAGTTGTTGATGTGCTTCGACATTTGATCTATAATAATTATGGGAAGTTTTGGGTTGTTAAAGTGATTTAATTGAGAAATACTCTATTTCTTTGTGCGATGTGTTTGATGTCAGTTACCTTATCTGTCTGTTCCATTGTTGTATGCCTTGTTCTTATTTGAGAATGTGACATTACTTATGGGATTGACCAAGATTTACATGGCAGGTGTTGTTGATGAAGCAGAAAACACTTATT